AAGAAAGAAAGAAAGAAAGAAAGAAAGAAAGAAAGAAAGAAAGAAAGAAAGAAAGAAAGAAAGAAAGAAAGAAAGAAAGAAAGAAAGAAAAAGAAAAAGAAAGAGAGAGAGAGAGAGAGAAGGAAAATAAGTAGAAATTAAATGCATGAGATTTCAGGTGGATATCCATTTGTTGGCCATCTGCCATTTCAGGTAACTAAAGAAGGAAGGAGTTCTAAGGGTTAATGGAATACCTGCCATGCGTAGAGTGAACCTTAAAAGGCAATTACTCCAGTCAAATTGGGAGTCTGTGGAGGAGGGAGTGAGTGGGTGTTGTGGAGCAAACCCAGCCGTATCAGAGAAAGGCTGTTGGGATGGAGAGGCAGCAAATAGTGGATATGGACTGGGGTAATTATTGTAAAGGTAAATTCACCCCCTTGAGAGCAAAAAGCAATTGGGTGGGAAGAGATCTGGGTGCTAAGCAAAGAGAGGAGGGAAAATAAACAAAAAGCCAAGAATTACAATTTGAAGAAACAATACCTAAAGAAGAAAACCTAGTTTAATGCAAACTCTCACGGCTAACTCTGAGCATTCTTTTTTTCCCCCATTAGAAGCACTTTGAGAAAGGTTATTTTTCCAGGCTCCAAAAAGAAAGACATTGCACTATTGATTAAAGAAGAGACAGGCAAACTCTCAGGGTAGCAGCAGAAGTGAGCTGAGGACCGATTTTGCCCCTTCCTATAGAATTTTTCTTTCTTGGAGAAGGGAACAGGTCACCCACTGGTCTAATTCTTCCCTTATCTCACTTTTTATTTATTGCTCTTTTCTTCTTTTTATTCCCTGGAAAACAAACAGAGGCAGTAGCTTAAAATGTATACAAGTGTATATATACACACACATACCCATGCCTGCTAACATACACATGTACACACATACGCAGTTAATGGATCAAACATGAACAAGCCCGCAATCCATTCATAACTTTGGTCTTGTCTAGCAGGATAGGAGGCAGCAAAGACTGAGTTACTGGGAGACATAAAGACTAGTGCTCTCTGGATAGCCATATTATAATGCATTATCTTTGAAGTCATTTAAGTCCAATTTAAGTGGTATTTAGTATAATATTTATGAATTAATGTAATCTAAACATAGGGTTGTCCCCAAAGGTTTAAACAGTCTTTACTACTGATGTGTGCTTGTTCCCGGAGCCTGCAATGCATTTTAATATAAACAGCCAAGTCCCTCTTGTTAACCAGTCAGAACACATCTGTGGCCTGGGTAACCACTCTGCATTGAGATTTCCCCCTGCTGTGTGGGAGAAAATCTACTCTACTGGCAGCCCCAGGGGCTCCCAACCTAGGAGCCACAGCTGCAGGAACTTCAGCCCCTCATACTTTCACACTACGTCCGGAGCGAGGGTGGGAACAGAGTAATGGAACCTTCTATGGATTGAGCACTGGAGAGTATATCATTTTAAAATACACTTATCACCAGATGCACAACCTCTCATTTCAACAGTATCTGAGTAAGAAATGTCTAAAGCCCCATGATTTGGGGTATATCTGGGAGAAAGGGAAAGGGCAAAGGTTATGATTATGTTTTGGTGATTTGTGATCATCTTCATAAAATTATATTTTGTATTTTCACATAAGATGTAACCATTCTCAGAACATGGAGTTCCCACCACTTGACTTTAGCTGAGAGGGCTCATTGTTGTTGTTGTTGTTGTTTTCCTTGAGATAGGTGAATCAAAGCCAGCGAGGCTCTATCTGATTTCCGTTTTCAAATGAATCCAAGAGACAGTAAAGCTAAAGTATCGGCATGGGCATCAGCTCAATTAAGATGATCTTTTTTATAA